TGTAAAAGTTAACTATAACCGAATAAAAGGAGCCGGCCAAGAGGCCACCTTAACACCAAAAAAAAAAAAAAAATTAATACTCACAATAAAGTATAGAGGTTATTATTAATATGCATCAATGACTTGAATATAAAACTATAAACTGTATCTGAAGTATATTGTTGTTCACTGATTTTGTTCACTTTATATGAGTTTGACCAAATAGACTGCTCCCTAGAATAAAAAAATTCAGATAAGCCAAATATATGAAATAATAAATTTCATTTACATATTGATTCACTTACATATGATTCAATATAATTTGATATATTTCACACTGTATTCTCTCTTCATGCTTGCAGCTTGGTGAGATTTCAGGCTTTTTTAAATTATTGCATAGAGGTGCACTATTAAAATTGGTATAGTAGGCCAGAATATCTTCGATATAACTTGATATATATAGCGAACTAGTATCATTGACCGGAATAGATATTTTTTTTGTCAGATAGTCCATATATTTATTGAATATTTTTCTCTTTAGTTTAGCATCTAGATTGTAGACACAAATAACACCACTTTTAATAGGGCTATTAAAACAATGGAAGTCAATAACTACAAATAAAATATTTAAGCATTATAAAATTGAATCTATTTACTCAAAGTATTTAATATCTTTGTCAGCTTCTATTGAATTTATATGGTTTTGAAATAACACGTAAAGGTCTTGCAGGTCTGATAAAGAATCTCTTTCATTCTAATAAAAATATTATTAATCATCATTCATATAGCGAAAAAATGGGGTTTAACAATTACTTTTGAAGTATCTAGTTGCAAAAAATTCTTTTTCAAATTCAATACATTTGAAAAAGCTAATTGAAGGTTTTCAACTTCTTTATCATTTCCACTTATAATCTCCTATCAAACTTTTATAATAGATGATGCCGTGCTTTCCTTTAGTTTTCAAAAATATGACTTTTATGTTTATCTATTAAAAATGTATGTATAGTGTAAATAATTAAATTTACATTAAATTGTTTTATTAAAAATTCTTTTTCACCGTGTTCATTTTTGAATTGTTCCAAAAAGCAAGAATAATAGCCATTCTCTAAACGTGTATCCCTTGTAAAATCACTTTGTTCTATGCGATACAAAAGAAAATTATATAGGCTCCAGGTGCTAATGTCGTTGTTTTTAAAGTAATAGTGATGGTCTTTTTTTACAAGTTTTGATATAGTCTCTTGGTAATAGCTATAGTATTGAAATTTTATTTGAAATGTAAAAGAGTAATTTTCGCAATCTCAATCGTTATTGGGCAAATTTGTGAATATGGTAATTTGACAAATGATTGGCTGACACGTGCCGCACAGTGGCACGTGTCATCCAAATTATGTATTAGCCAAATTACAAATTTTTTGCTCAATAATGTATACTTAAACGATAAAATTAATATCAATACGTATCGATATATCCATAAAAAAAATATATACTGTAGTTTAAAAAAAAATATTTAAATTCGATTTTACATC